CTCAGCCAGCTTTGCTGGCTGAGGAATTCTGGGAGTTGAAGTCCACAAGTCTGAAAGTTGCCAAGGTTGGACACCCCTGGTCTAAAGAGAAAACCCTATGACAAGTGATTAAAAACCAAACCCAGAAGGTAGACTATATTAAATTTTTAAAAGCACTCCTAAGAATTGCTGTATCCAAAAGCAGAGGTAAATACAGAAAATTCTGCAAGCTGTGGTCCTAATCCTTTAAGGGAAATATTCTCAGACTTTCCAACACCACACCCTTTAAAATGATAAATGCTTATTAATCCCACATGATATATCATACCAGCATGATATATAATAGTACTGTTTGCTTCACCTGATACCTCCTTCTCTCCAACACTTTCTCTCTTCCACTAGCATGAAAAGTAAAATCTAGGAGAAAATAAAACTGAAAAAAGCCGAAGTCATATTCAACAGTTTTGCTGCAGGCCACAATGCATTCTGCAAAATGCAGTGTCCAACTTCAACACCAGGTACTGCATTAAAGGTAATCTCACAGAGTGGATGGTAGCTATTCCTGATGGGAAATGTTTGGATGAGTGGAAAGCTGTGACACATGAGCCAGGGCCAACTTGTGGTGGCTGAAAGCAACGACAGGACTCTGCCTTTGTTATCTGCTCTCAATCTCACAAAGACTCATGAGCCACAGTTAGAAAACTCCATTTTAAGCCATGCACGATCCCTTCCATTATAAAGAGGCCAGAGTCTTACTGGCTGACAGAGCATCCAATATAAAATCCACTTATTAACTGACCAGGTGGGAATGCAAAATTAACACATCTTAATTTTGTTTCTTTTTCTCTCTCTCTTTTAGTCAGTGTTGGTGACTCCTGGTGACTGGAAAAGTCCCAGAGTTTTCTTGGCAAGATTTCAGAAATGATTTGCTATTGTCTCCTTCCTAGGTCTTAAAAATTAGTGACTGGTCCAAAATTATCCAGCTGGTTTCATGTCTAGGACTAGGACTCATGGCCTCTAGCCTCAGGCCTTAAATACTGTACTATGATCAGACTGATTCTTGAATAGCAATAGCACTTAGATTTATATACCGCTTCACAGTGTTTCAGAGGCCTCTCTAAGAGGTTTACAGAGTCAGCATATTGTCCCCAACAATCTGGGTCATTTTACCAATCTCGGAAGAATGGAAGATTGAGTCAACTTTGAGCCTGGTGAGATTCGAACTGTCAAATTGCAGGCAGCCGACAGGCGGCTAACCACTGCACCACCTCAGCTCTTTGCATCTTGGTAGTGCTTCATGCACTGTGTAGATCTTCATGATCTGTGTAGGCCTGAATGTCTATGGTGGCTTCAGCCCTAATCAATACAATTCCTGTTTTGTTTTTCTGTTAACACCTGAAGATGAACAGCTCCAAAAGAGAGTAGTAAAAATTAGTAAATTGATGCATATTAAAGAAATTAATCTAGGAAAGGAGCAGAGTTAGATTTATTAAGCAGCACTCTTTGGGTTTAAATTCAGGTAATAATACATGTGTTTTTCCACCTTTTTATGTATTTCCCCTTAAACTGTATTCCTTAGAAGCTGCCACCTTTTTCTCATGCTTGCAATAAAATGGCCACAGTTGTCCTGTCTCTAGTCCATAATTTATTACCACCCTTTCCTCCATTTCTTGATAATTCTGTACAATATATCTTTTCTGAATCTACTAAAGATACTGCTGCCAGCACATTGTAGTTTACTGAGGTAACTTTAGCAGGCAAGACAAAAAGTTGGTTCAATCCTCCATTCTAAATACCACTCCATTGTTGTATTGATTGCCATTTGGATGCCACAATATATCTGAATACCTCTAGAGCTCTAAATGATCATCACAAATTAGAGTAAGAAATGGTTTAGCCTTCTCTGCCGGCTGCAAAATTTAGTCTAAATTTTCAAACAACTGTTTTAAGATGCATCCCTGGTTCTTTGCATTAGGTTTACTGAACCTCTTCTATGGGAATTCACTGTTCTTTGAAACAGAGGCATGGCCTGTTCTGTTCTTTGAACTTTTTCATGTAGCTTCATCCACTGCTTCCAATTGCACTGGGAACACTGCAGCTGCATTGCAGTAAGAGTGACTGGGACATATTTACTGTAAGTGTCTTCATGGTAAAAGGAAAATTTCAACAACAGAGATCGGGATTCTTTCAAAATTTATTTTTTTAGGCAATACAAATATTTATTTGTATACAGTTCTCATTTTCTCATTGCCAATAATTAATTTACCCACTTACTTAATTCAGATTCCCAACTCTGCTCTTATCCAAAACTAGAGAATTAAAAAAAAAAATCCAAAGGGACATCTTTGATTACTTCCTGTATGTTTGTGTCAGGTGCAGGGGAGGAAATCCCAAACATACTGTAGAGCAACGTTATTCTATTTTACTTACTCTACTCTTTATTCCTCATAGCTGATGCTACAGGAAAAATGTACAATCAGGAAATGAATTTTCTGCCTTCTCGTTTCCAAACCTTTCTGAAAATGTGCACATGAGCTTTGTTCCCTATGCCCATCCATCTGGTAAACTCGCAAGATTCATTTTTCTCACCATGTATACATCCGAACTAGACTGTGTTGTTCCTCTGTGTCATATATTATGTGGGCATATGCATAGTTTTGTATTTATTTTGTCATCTTTATGTAATGTATGTTGGAGGTGGTGATCCTTTGAGAGATTATGCAATGAAATTTCATTTTAATGTATACCGATTAGTATACATTCAAAGTGATAATAAAGATATTCTAAGTTCTAAGAGTTTTGATACTTAAATATTCATGTGTTTCCAAAGAGAGAAAAATTTCAGTACCTGTTATGCTTGTTTTGCCTGAAAGGGAAGCAGGAAGGTGAAGGATTTTGACAGCTCCCAGTAAAAACTATTGTGGCCTAGATCAGAGTTGCAAATCTTCTGATGGCATGAATGTTGAGAGCATGAACCAATCTGAATAAGTCAAGGACATAAAAGAGCAGAGCTAAATTTTTTGTGGGTTTGGGACTGAAGCCTTTGGAAGAGATTCCTACCTTGAAGCGTATTTGAGGAATTTGCGTTTCACTATTCAGATACTCCCTTCAAATGGTAGGAAAGGTTTTTGATGTTAGTGGTCCTCAACCTACAACCACAACTGAGCCCAAAATTTCTGTTGCTAAGTGAGACATTTGTTGTGAGACTTGACGAGATTTCTTGCCACGTAAGTGAATCACTGCATCACTTAACATGGTTGTTAAGTGAATCTGGCTTCCCCATTGTTGGTCAGGTTGCAAAAAGTCATGATCCCAGGATACTGCAACAGTCATAAATATGAGCCAGTCACCAAACGTCCAAATTTTAATCGTGTGACCATGGGAATGTTGCAATGCTCACATGACAAACAGTCATAAGTCACTTTTTCAGGGCTGTTGTAATTTCAGTCACTAAAAGAAAAGCTTGTAAGTTGGGAATTACCTGGAGTTGATGTTGAAGAAGGCTCTGGAGACCAAAACAGAGAGCTGCACTAAATGGGAGCTTCTGAAATATGACAGCTTTTTACATGCCAGAAAAAAGGCAACTATGGGAAATATTTTGGGTGGGGTAGAGGGGGAGGGCACAGCAACTAACGGGCATATATATCTATATCTATATGAAGTCCACAAGTCTTAAAGTTGCCAAGTTTGTAGACCTCTGCATTAAGCAAAGTCAAAGGAGGAAAAAGTGGGGGCTGTAAACAGTGGTGGAATTCAAATTTTTTTACTACCGGTTCTGTGGGCATGGCTTTGTGGGCATGGCTTGATGGGCATGGCAGGGGAAGGATACTGTAAAATCCCCATTCCCTCCCCACCCCACTATCCTGCATTCCAGCTCCGTTCTCCTATGCAGGGCAACAAAAGGAGATCCAGCTGATCAGCTGGGACTCGGGAGGCAGAGAATAGATGGTGGGGGTGGGGGCAGTCAGAAGTTGGTATTTGCCGGTTCTCCAAACTACTCAAAATTTCTGCTACCGGTTCTCCAGAACTGGTCAGAACCTGCTGAATACCAGCTCTGGTTGTAAAATCAGAATACCTTGGTAACAGATATTCTGATTTCTATTGGGGTCATAAATCAAGGATCATCTTTATCGCAGAAGATTCACAATACTATAATACTTCCTTGCACACTTAAAAGCTTCTGTTCTCAGAGTTCCCACTTTGCACCTGTCCACAAAATTATACTGTTTCGATCGTACCATACTTGTGGAAATTGTCTTTTCAGTTACAACAATCCTAATAATCCCTCTCCCCCCCCCCCAAATTGGAGAGGTCTCATTGGTGTGGCCAGGTCCTCATTTACTGGAATAGGGTTCCCACAAAGGAACGACAACTTTCTATCTCAAGAAAGGCTGGGCATATTCCAAGTGAATGTAATTGGAGGGAGGACGGGCCTCCTTCCACTGTGCTAAAGGGATAAAAAAAGGGGGAAACACGGCAGGCACGCAGCAGCATATCTCAAGCATTCTCCTGTACAGAAGTGTTCGAAATGTTAAAAGTTGAAAGAAAGGAAAAAAAACACCATTCAGCACAGATTAGTTTCAAGAGGTACTGCACATACATTTTTTTGGCATTATGCGTTTCTCATACGTCGATTTTCCTTTGCAAGATACAAAAACAGATTCCATTTCAGAATAAAATCAGTGATACTTTAAGGAGTTTAAATCATCCAACTCTGTGATACAGTCAGCATATAAAGGTTTGCCACCTAGAAAGTGAAGGCATTGTAGCTTTTCTTTCAAGTACCTTGTCATCGTTTCACAGACTTTTGCTTCTATAAACAATGCTGCCTTGTTGCATGGCTAGAGAATTCCATTGGTGTAGTTCACACACTCTCCCCCCAAAAAAGCTATCATGAACATATATTGCTTTTTACTGGAAAGAGCTATCTGGCACTTTAGCAATTTAAGAAAAGAATATGTTTGACTATCCAATCTGAAACAAGTTGTGTGGAAGGAAACTCTGCAAGGGTCTACTTCCCAGTTACAGCTTGCAACCCACAGATAAAAGCAATGCATTCTTCCCCATCGTTCAAAATAAACCATCAAGTGTACACAATACTCGAAACTGTCTTATTCTTAGAGAATAGAAAGGAACAATGCATCATCTTTCCATGCTTAGGTTGGAGGAAATGTTTCGTTGGAGGGAATGTTTTCAGCTAGAGAAGCACTACAAAAATACAATTACATTTAGCCATAATTTACATGATGTTTAGCCTGCCCTGCCAAAAATATTTTAGTTGTTAACTAAAGATGTGCTCCTTATCACTTTCATCTCTCATTATTATGGACAATATTCTTCTGAGAAAACATAAAGAACAAAGATAAATCTGCATTTAAAAAACAACAACACCCAATACCTTTTTCACTTTTACACTAGATTCTGCATCCGTAATCCACAATACTCCTGATCAGGCAAACCTGCTTTCTTGCATTTTCAAGGTCACTTCACTTCACCTGAGACTCAACCCTCCCCACATCAAAGCATAACTAAGCTGCAATTGTTCTGGAAGTTTCCTTCATGTTTCAGAAGCAGTTTCGCAAGTGGCCAAAAGGATAGTTCTCTTAACTCATCTGTTGGGGGGGGACATAAAAATACAACCTGTGCCCTGTTGCTTAGCTACATGTGGAAAAAAAAAATGTTGAGCGCAGGAAAACTCACATGATAAAAAGAATAGATCCGAAAAGACCGGATCAATTTTCTCCAGGGCCAGTGAAGTCAGATTGTCCAGCTCATCAGTTTTCAGATTCTAAGTGTATGAAATTTGAAACTTCCCTAAAGGCAGCCAAAATGTTTAGTGTTCTCCAGCCTTTCCCAAAGTGATACCCACCAGATTGGAAATAATGGGAGTTGCAATCCAACACCATCTGAAAGGCACCATGTTGGGGAAGGCTGCAGTGAGCAATGATTCTCTATTACTCCTCTCCCTGTGTCAGTCCAGAGTGAAATGTCTGATTTCTTCTGTTTGAATTATTTTACAGATACATAGGTTTTCCTAGACACCAAGATCTTTGGGAAATGATGCTCATCACACCCGCTGTCGATATCTAAGGAAGGCCCATAATAGAGCTGCTGCTGCTGCTACGGCCAGCCCTGGGACCAAAATCATAGCCAAAGGAATGCCTCCTGGATCTCCATCTCCTCGGTGGCTTGAGGGACCATTCTGGGGCAGCAGCTGCAATCAGAAGGAGGGGAAAGGCATTAGCAGTTGAATCAAAGAAGGAGGCGGTTCAACTTTCTAAGGGAATGTAGAAAATCAAGGACAACCCATGTCTTCAAGTTGGCAACGTTGAAAATTCTCTTCCGAGGACGTATTCAGTCAAACTACTTTTGAAAGCTTGTGCATGTCCTAATGAGATTAAGTGAGGTCCCCATGTTATACTTGAGAAAAAGACAGAGGCCTTTAGGGAATTACTTTTCACCTTTGCTTTATGGAAAACTTGAAAAGATCTCCTTTTCACACCCACCCTATTGAAGAAGCTCTAGCCACCCTTCTGATCAATCATTTCCATTTGCAATCCCACCAAAACAAACAGAATCAAATAAAACTCCACTACATGCAACAACAGACATCCACATCTCTCTCTTCTGAAAAAAAAATTCCAATAAAACTTATAGGGATAAGTCCAGGCAGTTGCTAATTCAAAAGCTAGCTATCTTTCTTCCTCTCAACATTAATCAAACCAACCTTCAGTGGAGATTTTGCTATGGCACACTGTTATAGGTAATCTGAACATTTTGCCACTTGGTAGGTTACTTTAAGGTCTCCATTTGCTATACATAAAATTTATCAAAATGCCCAGGGAAATTTTAAATTACATAACAGATATACAAGTGTACATCAGCTTCCCCACATTGCTCTTGTTCAGATGTGTGGGACTACAACAAGTTATTTGCATTCCCAACACAACTGAAGAGCACAACATTGAGGAGATCTGACACATTCTGCTCACATTCAACTTCTGCTACTTATGTCACGTTTCTCCCTAGCTTCTCTTCTTTATCTCTTGCCAAACTTACATTGTAAGTATCCTAATTTTCCCACACCGTGGATTTTACTTGGAGGGGTGATATGGCAGCAGCAACAGTTTAAAGACGTTTTTCCCCAGCATGGTGCTCTTCTTATACAATACACTGCAACTCCCCAAATCCCTCAGTCATTTGGCCTTGAGGATGGGAAAAACAGCAGCAACTTGTTCATCACATCTGGAGGGCACCAACTTAGAAAACAGTCATTTATAGTAGAGATGTTCAAAATCAAGGCTTATGTTCCCCATCCAAATCATGGCAATCCAACTACCTGGTGTAGCTTGGAGTTTTCCTGAAGTAAATTCTTTGAAGCATTTGGGGGAAGTTCTACCAAGCAAAAACTAAGAAAGAGGGCCTTACATACCCTGTGCTGAACTTTTAATGATACATTATCACCAGCTGTCCTGAAAAGTTCCACAACTTTCTTGTGTAGCATGTTCTTCAACTCCTGATCATTAACCTGGAAAAAAAAAACACATGTAAAGACAATTAGGTACTCGCCTAAAACTGCCTGGACCCAAACCATCACTAAAGAACAAAAGCCTAAATAGAATGAATAATTCTACTCCATCAGATAGAATACAATAATTAGTACAGAGCATTTAAATAATGCATTCCAAGTGTTTTAAGAGCTCGAGTTTTTCCCTCATATTTTCATTAACTGCCAGCATTCTCAGTATATTCTGCACACAGAATAAGCCAGAACTGTATCTAAGTATTTAAGAGCATGAGCTAGTACAGAATGCCATCAGCTTCAAAGAGCTTTAAAATGTTAGGAAATGGAAACAAAACTTCAATCAATATAGACACAATGCTGTAAAACAAAGGAAGGTAATTTGTGGCTCTTGTAGCTTCTTTTTGTAGACTTTGGACTGTCTGGTGATGTTTACTGAAAACTGATAGCAGCTCCCTATCATTCTGATAGAATATAATTCTTTATTGGCCACGTGTGATTGGACACACAAGGAATTTGTCTTGGTGCAAATGCTCTCAGTGTACATAAAAGAAAAGATACATTTGTCAAGAGTCAAGAATCATAAGGTATAACACTTAATGATAGTCATAGGGTACAATAAGCAATCAAATCATACTAGGAAACAGTCAATATAAATCGTAAGGATACAAGCAACAAAGTTACAGTCATACAGTCACAAGTGGGAGGGGATGGGTGATAAGGAGTGATGAGAAGATTAATAGTAATAGTAGTGCAGACTTTGTAAATCGTTGGACAGTGTTGAGGGAATTATTTGTTTAGCAGAGTGATGGCTTTCGGGGGGAAAACTGTCCTTGTGTCTAGTTGTTCTAGTGCGCAGTGCTCTATAGCATCGTTTTGAGGGTAGGAGTTGAAACAGTTTATGTTTCATATTACTAAGGTTTAAGCCCAGAGGCAAACTTTCAAGTCAGACAAGTCACATACAGGATGGATTTGATCACAGAAGACAAATTATTCTCTTCCATTATTTCTCAACCATTCTGGCTGGGGGATTCTGGGAATTGTCCACACATCTTAGGCTAAGGTTGAGAAACACTGAATTTATGCAGTTGGGGTTGAGGCAAACTCATATTGTGGCTGTGATAAAGCCTGGTCAGATGTTATAAGTGATCGTCAACATTCCCCTCATACCAATATTAGCTAGAAAAGACAGGTATTGGATTGAGGAAATCTGTTATACAATGGAGTGATGTATCAATTAAATTTTGGTCTTGAATTTTCAAACAGCTTAGTGAATAGAGATTGGATGGATTTACAGAGCCAGCTAGTATTGTGAAGAAATTGAAAATGTTTCTTCATCATTCTCCGCCCCACCCCTCAATGAAACAATTTCACAGGACAGTATTTACTGCTAAAATCTTGTCTCCTTCCTGAAGGCGACCATCAAGTGCAGCAGCTCCATTTTCTTTGATCCGGCTAACGTAGATGCCACTGTCATTGGGGATATACTGCTGGTCAGTCCCGCCAACTATATTAAATCCCAAGCCTAAGAAAAAGATCAAAAAGAAAAGTTATTTTTAAAAAATGGGATCACTCCCTAGCCCAAAACTAGCAAGAAAGAAAAACAAACTCAGAACAATGAAAACTATTCCTTGAGACCGCCATAAAGCTTCTTGAACCAAAATAAACAGCGTTTGGAAACTATGCATATTTGGTTTGTATTTTCAAAACATGTAATTTTCATTAGCTACAGTGCACAGTCTGGATGGCAGCACTCAGCATACCCAGGCTGACCTTGCAGGCTAAATTTAGTTGGACCCTTGATATTCAGTTGTAGGCTATATCGGGAAGTTTCTTTTAAAAAAATCAAATCAAATCAAAATACCGTATATACTCGAGTATAAGTCGACCCGAATATAAGCCGAGGCACCTAATTTTACACAAAAAACTGGGAAAACTTATTGACTCGAGTATAAGCCGAGGGTGGGAAATGCAGCAGCTACTGGTAAATTTCAAAAATAAAAATAATTAATTTGGGAAACGATCTCACTATCATGAAAGGTTTAATTGATTCACTAACCCAAAAGAAGAAGATGATGATGACAGCGGGAGGCAGGAGTCACTCTCTTCCCCTCCCTCGGAGGCCCCCTGAGTCAGGAGTCACTACCGCCGGCACGGCCCCAGTCCCGCCGCCTCGGGAAGGGAAAGGCAAAGTGCTTTTTGCCTTTCCCTTCCCGGCTGGGGCTGTTGGGAGTCGCTGCCGCCGGAGGCTGCGACTCCACACCATTTTTTTTTCAGAGGGGAATCTGACTCGAGTATAAGCCGAGGGGGATTTTTTCAGCACAAAAAATGGGCTGAAAAACTAGGCTTATACTCGAGTATATACAGTAGCTTTTGTACTATTGTGCAAAAAACTGTACTGCTTATGTAACTACCTGGAGTCAACATAAGGGTGTTTTTACTTTATTTGTATCTACACAGATTTACGGAATACCAACTCCAACCAACTGTGGACATATTATATAATAAAAAGTCAGAACAATATCATAGATACCCATCAAGAAAAAGACATATGAAATGACATATAAAATTTTTACAAGGGCTCAGTCAACACCCTGCCCCAGGGAGTAGGGAAATAGCCAGGCTTTCAATGCCTTTTAAATTATCATCCCAATGGGAATCAGACAGCTCTCTAAGGGGATACTTTTCTAAGGGCAGGTGCTGTGACAGAGAAGGTATCGGGTTCTGAGTTCACCAAGAGCCCATCAACTCCAAATATTCCTCACAGCAAGTCAGCTGGCCGTGTCACCATATCTCTGCTGCTGCCAGATCTGTATTTCTGCTTGTGTGCTGGCCGATGGCTTTGGAATGACTCAGCAGAGCTGAGGATGGATTCTGCAACAACTGCAGGGCTGCAGGATGGATTCTGCAACAACTGCAGGGCTGCTGGAACTGGCTCTTTATTGATGTGGTGCATATTGTTAAAGTGGGTTTGGGCACATATAGGTGGTTATTAGGACTTAGGTTAAAATATGGTGAAGGTGGCAATCAGTTAGTGAGGGTCGGAATAGGGTAGGAATGTAGACATAGGGTTAATAGCATTTAGGGATAATGGGTTAGGCGTGGCCAGAATTAGAACTGCGTATAGGCCTGGGTGTGGTGGGGTGTGTCTCATGATAATGGTGATAAAAGGGAGCAAACTCAAACCCAACTCTAACCTTGCCTGGCTTTTAGCCATTCTTGCCTGATTAGAGTATTTGTTGTTTGATGCTATATTGAATAAAACATCATTGTCCTAAAGAGGGGCTGGAGTTTGATTTAAAGACAAATCTTCAATACTCAAGGACTGGCTGAGAGAAGGATCTATAGCAGAGTTCCCCAACCTTTCTGGGTTGGCGGCCCAGAGGGGGGGAGGGAGGGAAGAGCAGAGTCCTTTATGTGTGCATCCACGAATGGGGCCACAAGCGTGCAATGCAAGCAGGGTAAGAATGGTAGCTGCTGCTGGCGTTCACGGCAATGGTAGCACCTGCAGAGCACTCGCAGACAGCAGTGCCCTCATGGCACTCGCACAACACTAGCACAATGGGATGTGCGCGCGCACACATGCACTAGCCAGCCAGTCATACGGCCTGGTGGCCCACAGGTTGGGGACTCCTGGTCTATAGGTAATATGGCTTACTTGGCAGAACCTCAAGGACACCCCACTCTGCCAAATCTTACTGGATGGGCAATAGCTTTCTCTCACAGAACCAGGCCCTCTTTTATTTCCTGGCTATGCAGGTAGTCCTTGACTTACAACAGCTCATTTAGTGACCGTTCAAAGTTACAACAGCACTGAAAAATGTGACATGACCATTTTTCACAGTTACAACCTTTGCAGCATCCCCTTGATCATGTAATCACAATTCAGATGCTTGGCAATTGGTTCACACTTATTACTGTTGCTGTATCCCAAAGTCCCAAGAATAGAATAGAATTCTTTATTGGCCAAGTGTGATTGGACACACAAGGAATTTGTCTTGGTGCATATGCTCTCAGTGTACATAAAAAGAAAAGATACATTCATCAAGAATCATAAGGTACAACATTTAATGAAAGTCATAGAGTACAAAAAGCAATCAAATCATACTAGGAAACAGTTAATATAAACCGTAAGGATACACGTGACAAAGTTACAGTCATACAATCACAAATGGGAGGGAATGGGTGATAAGGAGTGATGAGAAGATTAATAGTAATAGTAATGCAGACTTTGTAAATTGTTGGACAGTGTTGAGGGGATTATTTGTTTAGCAGATTGATGGCCTTCGGGTGAAAACTGTGCTTGTGTCTAGTTGTTCTGGTGCGCAGTGCTCTAGATCCTATAAGACAATACTAAGCTAAATGGTTGCTTCAGGCACAAGTTGTGAGATATGAGATGCAAGCTGTATGCCATTTGTCTGATTTAACTTTGGTAAAGTAATAAAATGGCTATAAAAATATAAAACATTGGAAAAATATTTTTACCTAATGAAGAATATATTATGGTTACACATCATTTTGTTTTGATTTTTGTGATTTTAATATTTTTGATTGTACATTGATGTTGTTTTATCTTTTGGTTACGTGCTGCCCAGAGTTTGATACAAGATGGGCAGATATATGTTTTACAATAGTGGCGAATATCTGTAGCTCGGGTGTAGGATGAGAGTGAAAATTTGTTCTCCAAGCTTGTGGGTTGATTTCCGAACATTTCGTTACCAGGCTAGGCAACATCTTCAGCGGAGTTTAGGGGATGTCGGTGTTGTTGTTTTTCTATTTCTAAGGGCCTCAGGTGTGGGTGTGTCAAGTGAGGGTCTTGTGATGGATCAGCTATGCGTCATCAATGAGACTTGTGCAGGAATGGGATCCTACCAGCATAACAACCGGTTCGGTGAGCATGCGCTTTGTGCGGTTGTGCAATACTTGTAAATCAACATCTCCTGCAAGCGATAACCTTCTCCTGCTGACGCACGACACTCAGCTGTGCCATGCAAACCAACTAAGGTTGCTTTAGCAGGGAATAAAGGACAGCCTGGAGCCCAGGCGGGCGGGTGAGCCCAACCGAAAAAAAGACTATCTTCAGAGAGAACTGGCTTGGTGTCAGCTGCTGTTCGGAGCTACCGGTTTTATAGAACTGCGCCAAAACAGTAGAATCCCACCCCTGGTCTTGTGAAGGGTCCAATATTTAAATAAATAGATTTCTAAAGGCAATGAATACACAAAGTAGAAATGACCAAAGAATGCAGCAATGATGTACTTGCAACAGCCTTGTGAAGGAAAAAAGAGGAATCATACAAGTGAAAGATATTTGTCCCAAGTAAAAATTGTTAAACGACTTCATATTATTAGGAGTAAAAACAAAATCTAGCCATTTTTGCCTATTATACAGCTAGAGAAATTGGGAACAATACAGTTGAATTCAGTAAGGAGAAACCATGTTACTGCAATCCCAGCATAAACATTCACTTTTAAGACTGCCACACATCAGGTATTCTTTCTACTGTCACAATGGATTAAAATTTGCATTCTTGCATATGTTTAATCTAAGAAATGCTTTAATCTGGGGCTGGAGTATCAAATGACATCCCCTTTCTTTGAGATGAGATAATACAGTTGTCACTCGCCTTACTTTCTCCTCCCCACAACTCCATTGCTTTATTAAATCCATAATGACCAAAACAATATTCAGCAAATATAGACTCCTAATACACACTGAATCAAAACAGAATAAGACAATCATAAAAACACATGCATGCATGCACGCAAATAGACTTTCATTTAGACACTATAAGACACACATTTATTTCTGGACTAGGATCTGACTAAGCCAGATTTAGCATAATGCTTGATATTCCACTAGGTGTCACTAACGTCCAGTAGGGCCTTCATGTACCCCTATTTTTAAACTATAGCTTGCACTTTTAAGATTTTGTTTTTTGTTATTTAGTGGCTACCTTTTTTAAAAAACAACAACCACCCATGCATTTTACTAGAGTTAGTGGGATGTTGATATTAAACTTAGCAATTTTGGAAATGCATGGATTGGAATGTAGACTATGAATATATTTAATATGAACATAAACACTATCGTCCCATAGTTTATTACAGAATAAATGAATCAAATTACCCAGACTGCATGCTAAGAAACCAGCAAAACTACAAAATTTAAAACTACAGTAACTCAATAATTCATGGTTGGGTTTCCCTTGCATGTGCTTTTTATCCAAACAAGGATTAAACTGAATTTAAAAAAATGTTTGCCCTTAATTAGAGGATATAATCCCAAGAATGCCTTTATTTCTTCTCTTGCCAGATCACTTCTTTTAACAAAGAAACCTAGTGTGATCCATTTGCAACACAGTCTAGGCAGCACAGTGTTAATGAGATCTCAGGAAGAATTTTACTGTTTACTTCAAAATGTGTGACTAGTAATAATATCAAACTTTTTACTGTAAAGCAGTAAACAACAGTATCAAACATAAGCCATCAGACACAAACTTAAAAACACCTGTAAATCTAACTAGATTAAGTATCACATATATTCACTTCAAACCTCTGTACACACAGAGAAAAATACTTAAAATATTTTAATTCTACAATTAAAGACACATCTTTTGCTCCAATAAGCTTGGAATAGGGCAGACAGGAATCATCTGTTTTTCATAAGAATTATCCATAAGTAGAGTATGAGTAAGAAAATTACTTTAATAAATAGCTAAACAACTGTGAAGCTGAGTTGAGCCCAGAACAAGTCCAGGATGCTATCCTGTATAAACTGTTCTCACTGGTCAAGTTGATTGGAACTTCCGAGAGTGGTAATTTTGCAACGTCTGGAAGACCACAAATTGTTCTGCCTTAAACCATCCAGTTTGACTCTTGCTGTAATCTCCAGTGTGAAAATCAGATTATAGAATGAGATTTACATAGAATTTTCTCTCCCACATTTTCTGCATAACCAGCAACTCCCAACCTTCCATTTCCCTTTATAGCGTAAATCCTGCACGCCGACTTTAGAATAGCCCCGTCAAGTTTAATAGGAACTGAAGAAGCTTCGTGGATGAGAAGCAAAAAGTCTTCAAGGAAAAACAAGAAAGTCAAGTTGCCTCTTGAAAAAGCACCTTTGGGACAATCATGACCTGAATGACTGAGAATCTCCACAGACAAGTTTAATACAAGTAGTCTATGGAGATTCTCAGTCATCCAGGTTGTCCCAAAGGTGCTTTTTCAAAAGGCAGCTGGCCTTTGTTTTTCCTTGAAGACGTTTCGCTTCTCATTCAGGAAGCTTCTTCTGACTGAATGGTGCGGAATGGAAGGATTTATATTTATATAGTGTGCAGCAGCAGCCATATAAGCCAATGCAAACCTAAGTGGCATTAACAGAGGGATTCAATCAAGATCACGTCCATCACTAATACCACTCTATAAAGCCTTAGTAAGACCACACATAGAATACTGCATCCAGTTTTGGTCACCACACTATAAAAAAGATGTTGAGACTCTAGAAAGAGTTCAGAGAAGAGCAACAAAGACGATTAGGGGACTGGAAGCCAAAACATATGAAGAATGGTTACAGGAACTGGGCTTGGCTAGTCTAGTCCAGGGGAGACATGATACTTCCAATACTTTAGGGGCTGCCACAGAGAGGAGTGGGGGTGTCAACCTATTGTCCAAAGCACCTGAAGGCCAGACAAGGAGTAATGGATGGAAACTGATCAAGGAGCTTCAACCTAGAAATAAGAAATTTTCTGACAGTGAGAACAATCAACCAATTGAACAGTGGTGGGAGCTTCATCACTGGAGGCTTTCAAGAAGAGAGTGGATTGCCATCTGTCTGAAATGGTATAGGTAGCGTCTCCTGCTTGGTCAGGGGGTTGGACTAGATGACCTACCAGATCCCTTCCAACTCTGTTATTCTATTCCATATTCCTCGCAGTCACCTAATTTAATAGGGGTTCCATACAGTGCTGTAGCCTCAATATAGCGCCACTAAAAGGCTCTATATTTTGCCTCAACTTTCACATAGAAAAAAAAAAAACCCTCAGAGTTCAGTTTCAAGGGAAACCTGTTCTTTGAAGATTAAAATCTGTTTTTATAAAGTTTTCCTTTATTAAACAAACACAAACAAGAACAGAAATTACAATAAAAACGTTGAACCTGGTACAGTCTTCCTAATATCAATCTTTGTCATTACTTCACTAAATCCAATAATAATGTTACATCATTTTTATTCCATATACGTTAAATATACATATAATCATTCCTTATTTACATGAATCTTCCTCATCTCTAGCCAACCATAAAATTTGTCCCGTGTTTTATAATAATCCGAATCCTCCTTAGTTTTTAGCCCCTTTTGTTAGTTTATCCATTTCTGCGCCTCTCATTTTTCAACTTCATTTGGGATATCTTCACGTTTCCAATTCTGTGCATACGCCAATCTTGCTGCAGTTATTACATGGATTATTAGATATATATTTTCTTTAGAAGATTAAAGCCTTTAAAAGCAACCCTCCAGCGCTGTGCCGAGGATCCGAAGCAGCCCTCAAAGCCAAAGGGCCCCTTTCCCTCTCCTTTCAGGAGCAAAGGACCGAGGGAGAGGAGCGCCTTCTAAGCGGCGTAGCTTCCCCGGGACCCCCCTTCGGACTTCGGACTTTCCCCTTCCCCCCTCCCGACAAAACCCAGCCTGGCGCTCGCCTGCCCGCAGCAAGAGCAGCTGCTTCAGCCAAAGGCGGCGGCGGCAGCTCCCGGGGCTGCCCGCCGCGCATTTTCTAATACCTGAAGGTCCTCGGGTCAGATGGATCACTTCTTCCGACAGCAGATAGTCCACCCCGCCGTTCATGCTGCGCTCTCCTGCGGGGTGGGATCTCTGCTCGGCGCCCGAGTCTCGCTCCGCCAGGCGAGCGCTTGAAGGTGAACCCCAGCCAAGCCAAAGTCGAGGAGGAGGGGGAGGGGGCTAATAGCGGCGGCAGGGGTGGTGGCGGCGGCACTTTCACTTTCAGCAAGCTTCGCAACCGGAAGGACGATGGCGGGCGCTAAGAATTCTGGGGCTTGTGGTCCTCCCGGTGCAGACGCTGCTCGCCCAGTCGGGGGGCGGTGGACGGGAAGCGAACCGGCTGGGCTAGTAGTACGCACAGTACAGTTATCACATCACATTTCATTCTGTTTTGAGACATACTTGTTCCCAAGGAATTAATTTGGAATTAGTCAATGAGGGGAAAACACCAATTTTCTTATATCCTTTATTTTTATAGGATATGATGGGGGGGGGGGGGGGGGGGTGTAATCCAGTGTGATCAGGGATGGGGAAAAGATGGGATGAGAGAAAATGTACAGATGGACCCTGTAGTCCACCTGTACATTTTCTAATATTTACATATTTACATAATATTAGAAAATAATTATTATAATTATTATTTTCTAATAATATTACATAATATTAGAAAATAATAATAATAATTAATAATAATAGTTACAAAGATTGGGGAAAAGTAGATCCAAATATAAATGTTATTTATTCTCTTCTGTTTTGTATAGTATTTCTGCTTTCCTTCATTTTCAATTTTTGAGACTTTTTTGGGGAGGGGGAGTTTCTCACTTCCAAAACCTTTTAAAAGTCCATTATATTTCTCAGCTTGCCATCTCCTCACCTTCCCACCTTTCTGTGACCACTTTATGGTGTAATTCTTCTGGCTGTTCATTTCCTTATAAAAATACTGTAATAGGAACAAAGATTCATAATTACTGTGATATTGCTACCATTTCTGAGTTGGAGACTGGGCACTTCCCTAACATTTTAATTATTTATATTATTATTTAAAGGGGGGAAAAGGAAAAATAATTCTGATATACAATAAGTACACATTTAAAAGAGAAAAGGAAGTGTAGTAGAGAAGAAAAATAATAATAGATGGATAACTAATAAATTTTGAATAACTAGTAATTCTAAAGTAACATATGACTAATATACTCTCATACACCATTAACAACTTACAGCATTATAAAGCATTTCATGTCCATTTTCTACTCAAAATATGTCCCTGTGTCATAGTAAAACGATTCAGTTGGCACAATTGAAATCAATTAAAAGAGAAAAAAAAACCTAAACATAATAAATAATGCATTAAACAAATGCTCAAAGTCAGTGCTTTTCAAACCTGAATAAATTATCCAAAATTGGGTAAAAGTGTTTTTCCTTTGGGTAACAATATGTGGACTCATTATTGATCACAAGGGGACATTTAAGTTGACTTAAAAGATTGCCATATACATTACAATATATTCAAAAATATCTCAAAGTATCTCATTACAATGAAAATCAATGAAACTGCTAATGATGATTTGACATGAAGAGTTATAACCATTCATTCAATAACCACTTGAAGTTACAACAGTGCTAAAGTAAAGGACTTAGCAATGAAGACCGCAAAGTTCAGTAAGAGTTTTTGGTAGGTGGGTAATGGGTAATGAAGAAAAAGTTTGGAAAGCACTGCTCTAAATAATATACAGGCTATATAACAGAAATTATACGACATAAGGTTCCCAAAACCATTACTTTAGTACAGGGATCCTTCAAACTTGACAGCTTTAAGACTTATGGACTTCAACTCCCAAAATTTCTCCTCCAGTCATGTTAGCTCAGGAATTCTGGGAGTTGAAGTCTACAAGTCTTAAACTTGCCAAGTTTGAAGACCCTTGCTTTAGTGCTTGTTTATTTATGATGTTATTTATCTGGGTTTTTTCTTCTGGACTTCTCCAACAGGACTGAGATAATAGAATCCTAAGGCTGAACTGGTTCTGCAAACAACAGAATGAATAGATGGATTAATGGATTAACTAATTCAATTCAAATCCTGTTCTAATGCAACAAAAACAAAAGTATCAAATATAAAGAAATACATCAGAAACTGAAAAAAACCTTAATCTGTGCAATCTGTGCAATCTGTGCAAACTAATTATTCTTAAGAAAGAAACCAATATTAAAACATAGAACAGATTTGTACCAGAAGGCAACAGGAAATATTTATTTAGGAGAAAGTTTTGCATTACAATTCAAAGATAATTATAAATATGTAATTTTCACTATTACAAGGTACAGTAGTAGATACCTCAAAAATTTCTACATCTTTAAAATGAAAACAGAAAAACAATAGGTACTGGAAAAACTGGTCTTCTTTACAACACATGTCCTGGGAGATATCTAAAGTGGTGACATATTATTATTCTCTAGGTTACTAAATTCACATACATAGCACATACTGTCATGTTCCAACATTCAGAGATATGTGAGGCATTGGTTTGAAGTGCAAAATCTTACATTTAACTATATTCCAATCTCTACCTTATCTGGAAGATGATAACTTCAAATCAATTTGCTTCAAAATAGGATTAAATCAATTAATTAAGAATATCAGAATTCTTATTATGCTCCTATTCCTTTGTTGGACTTCATCTGACTTTTAATCATTCATGTCAATTTGAGACAGGCTAAAACACAGGTAATCAAAAGCACAATCAACTGAATTCCCTGAAAAATAACTTTCCTAAAATGGTACTTCGAATGTTGCTTCTCCAAAATATCTACCGTATTTGCCGGCGTATAAGACGACCCGGCGTATAAGACGACCCCCCACCACCACCAGAAACGCCCTCCAGAAATCCCCGGGGCTGCAGCGGCAGGGCGGAGTGCCAGGGGCTGTGGGAAGAGCAGGAAGGCTGCAGCCTCGGGCGGAGCGAGGCGAGCGGGATGAAGCGGAAGCGACGCAGGGGATCCGGGAAGCCAGAGGCGCCTTCGCTGCGTCCAACAAGCATCCGAAAGCCGGCAGTGGATATACCGGCGTATAAGACGACCCCCCCACTTGGAGGCATGTTTTTCGGGGCAAATAAGTCGTCTTATACGCCGGCAAATACGGTACGTTAATTCTCAAACGCTCTGATGCTGTATTTATGTATTAGCTAAATTTATTAAACGCATTATGTGGCCCCAGAATTCACACACAGTAATTCTTCACTAGGACTAACTATCCGTGTCTCTGTTCCAGGATGAAAATGAGACTGAGAAGACTAGGAGAAGCTGGGAAAAGATACCGACATTAGAGTTCAGATATTTGGGGATTCTGAAGCTGTAGTTCTAATGCATCTAGAGCCCCTCTCCACACAGCTCCCAGTTCCCCTATCAATTCTCACCTTCAAGCACCTGTCACTGACACAGCACAAGGAACTATCTGACAGAACTCCTTCTGAAATCTCAAAAAATGAAATGGATTACTTCATGATGGTTCTCAGTGTTCTTTGTTGATTTTTTTCATGTTAAGCCATGAAGATAGTGCCTTACCTCTTGAGACAGAATTTGGAAGTATGCCTAGAAAGATTCATGTGTTATCAGAGACAATGCTACTGAACTCCCAGGATAATGTTAGGAAACCTGTGCCCGCCCCCCCCTGTCTTTCCTGCAATGTTTATCCAGCAGTTACATCACAAAACAACCTTTTTGCACACCAATGTTGGGACTTCTTCACCTCATTGGACTGAACACAGAGAGAGGAAGTTTTCAAACATAAAAGCCCAGCAGTTCGGAGCAATGAAGAAAAGGACCATAGTATCTTCTTCCATGTGACTTCATAGGCGCATGTCCTTTCTCATATTAGCTTCACACACTTTTAAAGTCATATGCATTTTACTCCAATGCTTTCTTAACAGCCTTTTTTAAAGTCAGATCCAAACTGGGAACAAAAGCCATGGAACAAAACATTCCACAAAGAAATGGACTTTTGGAAGGAGAATAAAGTTATAGGCAAGTTAAATGGCAGGAAACAGGAAGTTGCTGCTTTCTCCAGAATGACGAAAGCAACATTGCAATATGCCACCACAAGCTAGGCCCCTTTAAGGCATGCACACAACTTCACAATTCACATAGAAAAGGACCAGGGTTGAATCATGGCTGCACCATGCTGGTGACATCAGTCTGACCTCTGTTGGCATCCCTACAGAAGCCAATGCTTATTGAACAAGATACCAGTCTCTTTTTGCTAATATTTCCCAATATTATCTTGTTAAAGATTTGATGTGCGAACCCTGGTTCATTTCTGTGACTTATTATGAGCTTTCTTTTTTCACTTTTCAGTCTGGCTGTCTAAATCTTCTCTCAGACTCTCCGATCCTATGTACAATTTGCTTCCTAAACCAGGCACCAGAAAGGACAAGTGCACAAAGAGGAAATACAATTGCTAAGATAATTTTCATTTTGGGATGAAATCTCTCGCGTTCATACAGAGGTGGCGGGCCACTGTCAATACTGCCACCGTTGCCTTCCTCTTGGCAGTCGGGGGGAGCCCAGCCTTGCTCACAGTGACAATGCTTGTAATTGTTGCATATTCCATGATTATGGCACTTTGTGACATTGCAATCGTATCTCAAGAGAGACACATTAACACACTCCCTGTTAATACACAACATGCCATTGCCACAAGGAGTGCCATCTCTCACTGCTCCAATATCGATGATCTTCATCCCACTGTGGTAATCAGTTCCCCAGCATTGTTTATTGCCCTTGGAAGTTTGAACTATGGTGGTGTGATTCTCCAAAGAGGGCAAGCTTTCCACATTTTCACACTGGATACGACCACATAGAATATTCTTAGGTATACATTTGCTATAAATTCCATGTATAAGGCCACAGTTGCCAAACCGGTTGCCTTGAGTATTCATTTCTCTAAAGCAAACTTCTGAAGCAACTGTTGCTTTGCTGCCAAAGATTGCTTTGCATTGTCTATCATGAGTATTGCAACTTCCATTATAACAATATGCACCATCATTGCATGGGGCACCATCTTGCACATAAACATCTTCGGGACATCTCTCAGAAACTCCATTGCAGTACTCGGGGAGATCACAACTGCTTTTCTTATTTCGGCAGACTGTTCCAGCAACTTCATACTGACACTTGGTACAACACTGTCCAAAAGCACAAGTGGCCCCTAAATGTAACTTACAGTTAGAGTGACAACATGGATCCAACTTGCATTCAGCTTTGGTACCACAGTCACATTGCTCTCCATTATCTACTACTTTGTTGCCGCAGAATTTGAATTTAAATATTTTATTAGGGTCTGGTGGAATTAACAAACAGTTCAAATTTCTTTGACTGAAGTAATCTATATAACTGCAGTTGCTAAACTTATCGGTTATTACTTGTGTTGGGGCCATAATGCATTTTGCTCGATCACATACACAGTATTTTGAGTCATGTTGCATGCCAAGGTTATGTCCTAGTTCATGGATAAATGTGTTAGAAATACGGTACAAACTGGAAGTAATATATGATTCAACAGCTGATCCACTGTTATCATCACAAATCTTTCCTAAGTATGCTAATCCTATTGCATGACCGAAATTCTTAAATATAAATAAGTGCCCAGCATCATTTGGTAGATGAGAAAGTAATGAGTCTCTTCTCCAACTAGTGAATTCTTCAAGTGTTTTAAAAATGTCATCATGAATTGATATAAGATTTCTTTCTGACCATATTTCTAGTCCCGCAATAGACAAATGAACAGAAAGAGGCTCATACAGTACATTTGCAATGTAGAAGATATCCAGAATATTTATAGCAGTAAGAGTTTCATTTTTGCCAAATTTCAAAAAGCGTTCATGATCAATCACAATAGCAATCTCTGCATACCTCTCATGTGACCACCAGTTTGCTTTAGATATACCTTTGTCTGGTTTTTGGTCCGGATTTTGGATCATGGCTTCTTGATGTCTTTGCTCTTCCTGTGTTAGGCCGCACACCATTGGAATGACTCCCACCTTTTCTTCTAATTGAAAGACTACATGTTGAAATGTAGCGGATTCTGGAAGTGGCTCTATTTCGTAAATCTTATTTTTAAATTGCAGTAGGCCCCTGAGCCCTCCAGAGCAAGTGCTGATGATGGCCAGAGAGAAGGGCTCACCTTCTACAACACCATCATAGTAACAGTCATCCCTGAAGAATGGATAATCTATCTGGAGATCCCCATCCTTATTATAAGTGAAGATGGGTAGATGCTTCGGGATTAAGCCTCTTTTCTGCCTAAGGTGCATTACAAGATTCCTCCCGTCAATTTGAAACAAATAAGTCATATTCTTGGATTTCTGTTGTCCAAATTTGAAGGTTAATGATTTTGGGATAGTTATTTCATAAGAAGCATAAATAAAGCCCCAAGGAGGTTTGTGAGAGGCAGTACCAGTCAGGAAAGTTATCAAGAATGTCATCACCAGCCAGGGAAGATGAATATTCATATTCTCTGGCAAAGAAAGGAATCCCTTAAAATACAAAATACATTTTCTGACATTTCAATTCAGAGAAGGAAGCCCCCAGCAACTGATGAGAATCTAGGAACAAGTTTATAAGGCTGTAAACAAAATGTCCGCCACAAAGACGAAGAGGATTCTATACCAGGCAACTGTAAATGGAGTTTCCTTTGGGATGTGGGTGGAGCTTAGGGAGCAGACATGGAATAGAATGGCAGACCTAATCAAGGGGGTGACTTGTGTTGTTAGCACTTTCTGCAGATGGCCTTTGTAGTAAATGTTTGCTTTTCTCGGTAAATGTAGACATGTCCACTGGGCTATTTCTATTCTTCTTTGGACCTAATTTGAACAACTTTCTACTTGAACATTTTCTCTTCTATAGTCTTCTCTCTATGAGTTGATGAAGTAAAAGGCTTTTTAAAGGGTGCACAACTATGTATTCATGATTAAGTACTTTGGCATTTCTCATTTGGAAGGGTTTACCAATTATTGTCAGAACTGATTTTCACCTAATTAAGGAGGGATGGGTTGTGGGAAAATGCTGCACAAATATTCTGAATTAATAAAAAGGAGTTTTCTTTCCCTTTTGAGACCTGGATTTTTTTTAAAAAAAAAATCTTTATCCCTAGATGAGTGTTTCTCACTTAGCAACTCTCAGAATTCCCCAATCAGCATACTAGCAGAGAAATGTAGGAGTTGAAGTCATTGCGGGAATTGAACTCCACACATCTTGAACTTGCTAAATTGAGAAACATTACTGTAGCTAGTGGGGTAGGCAGGTTGAAAAGATATCCTCTCAACTTACCTGGGCCTGTGCAGAATTATTTCAATTGTTTGCTCGTGTACCTCACTCCATATGTACTCTCCTGTTTACATAAGGATGTTGATTCCATGATTGGGAATCAGCTGTCAATGATGTGATGGTGATAATGATGAGAATGAGGAGGAGGATATGCAAATATTTCACACACATGCTCTAATATCTCTGCTAAGAAAGAAGAAGCAAAAGCAATCACATCCTTCTCCATTTGCTCTCTAGATCTTTCACCATTCCTTCCCACTAGTCTGATAGGAGAATCAGGGCCATGCTACTATCTACAGTAACCAGGGTAGCACCTGATCATTCATCCTTTTCTCCACCACAATGGAAACCCTTCTTTTACTGGCTTGTGAGCAATTGCATCATTGCGATCCTAAAGCTACTCAGCTAGGCTCAGGAGAAAGATGTAGGATTATTCCTTTTTTTTTTTTTTGAATTTTTTTTACAACAAAAATAACAAATAAAAACCGTCTTTCAGTTATACAGTGTGTCATCTGGGTACATAGATCTTGTGCACATAATAATATTCATATACATTTCTCATTGAGTTTACAATCATATTGTATTCTAATCAACATTATTTATCATATAATACCGTGTTTCTCCAACAGTATGCCCCTCCATAGGAAGACCCAGCATGTTTTCTAGGCATAAAATGAAATTAAGCCCCTCCCCCCAAATTTAGGCCTAGTTTAAAATATGCAAAATTTGGGGGGGGAGGCGGGGGGAACTTGCCATTAGGAGTGCCCCACGGGCAGCTACGCCTCACCATCAGCTGCTCCTAACACCATGGTGGAGCACGGAGGGCTCCCTTACCCCTCCCTTACCCGGGTCAGCAGGCAGGCGTCGTCAGCGTGGATGTCCAGCAGCATTTCAGCCGCTTCTCAGGCCTCCGTAGCTTCCACGGTTCCCACCGGTGCTGGCGCCACTCTCGCCAGCACCGTCTCCAACAACAGTGTCTGAGTCCCTCCCGCTTTCCCAGTCCCCGTAACAACAGGAAAAAAAACATTTTGAGGTACCTGGGAGCGCCGCGCGCTGTGTTTTGGTTTAATCCCGAGCATCTGGGTGGGCGTGAGAAGAGCCGAGCGAGTGTCTCTGCTGCTGCTACCCTTGGTGCTCCAGTCTCGGGCTCTGCAAGTTTGCAATAGTCCCGGTGCGCAGCCCTTTCCTGCATTCCAAGCACCCAGGCCGAGCTGCAGCTGTCCCTCTCTCACCAGCACCGTCTCCAACAACAGTGGCAGCAGCGGCGGGAACCGTGGAAGTTACGGAGGCGGCTCCCCCACTCGAGAAGTGGCTAAAACACTTCCACGGTTCCCGCCGCTGCTGCCACTGTTATTGGAGACAGCGCTGGCAAGAGAGGGACAGCTGCAGCTTGGCCTAGGCACTTGGAATGCAGGAATGGGCTGCGCACCAGGACTTTTGCAAACTTGCAGAGCCCGAGGCTGGAGCACCAAGGGTAGCAGCAGCAGAGACGTTCACTCGGCTCTTCTCACGCCCACCCAGACACTCAGTATTAAACCAAAACGCAGCGTGGGGTGCTCCCAGGTACCTCAAAATCTTTTTTTTTCCTGTTGTTATGGGACGGGGGAAAAGCAGGAGCGACTCAGACATTGTTGTTGGAGACGGCGCTGGTGTGCAGGGGGGGGGGAGAGAAATTAATTCACCCCGAAAAGACATCCTAGCTGTTTTTTCGGGGCTCAAAAAAAAATAAGGCCCGGCCTTATTTTGTGAGAAACACGGTATCATTATTACATTGTCATTAGATTTTTATTTCAATTTCAAACTATTCTTAAAGGGAAATCCCAACTTTTACAAAATTATAATCATGCTATAACTTATTCAAATATAATCAGTTATATCATTATTATTACAATATCCTTTAATTTGTTACTCTACTTTCTACCATCCATAAAATAAATCCCAACTCTTATAATACTCCTTTTCTTCTTGCTCTCTAATTGCTAATGTTAATCTACTCATTTCTACACATTCCATTATTTTCTTAATCACCTCCTCCTCCATCGGAATTTTCTCATTTTTCCAATTTTGTGCAAATACAATTCTAGCTGCTGTTAATACATTAATAATCAAATCTGTTACTTCTTTACTATAACCTTCAGGCAAAATCCCCAGTAAAAGTACCTCAGGCTTTAAATCTGTGTGTTGTTTATTTTTTTTCCAACCATGTGTGTATTTTAGTCCAATATCTTTTAGCTTCTGCACATGTCCACGACATATGGCAGTATGATCCAGGTATCTGATGACACTTCCAACATTTTGCCAATTTGTCTTTAAACATCTTTGCTAGTCTTGCCGGGGGTAAATGCCACCTGTAAAACATCTTATACAAATTCTTTTTACAGGCTGTTGACATTGTTAATTTATAATTTCTGGTCCATAGTTTCTGCCATTTATCCAAGTCTATCCCATATCCAAAATTGCCCCCCCCCCAAGCAATCATCATTTCTTTAACTTGTTCCAGAGGTGGTATTCAGCAGGTTCTGACCAGTTCTGGAGAACGGGTAGCAGAAATTTGTAGTAGTTCAGAGAACCAGCAAATACTACCTCTGACTGGAGATTTTATAGTATCTTTCCCCGCCACGCCCACCAAGCAATGCCCACAGAATCAGTAGTAAACTTTTTTGAATCCCACCACTGACTTGTTCGATGTAGAATTATTCCTGTTGCTATCAATTCTGAGTTGAGAACTCATTAATTTATACCCATGCAAATGATCTTCAAAGAGACTTCCACCCCACCCAAAAAAACCTGTTTTTTAAAAATACAGGTATCTGTGTATGAAGAGGGTTTTTTAAATTCAGCTCTTCACCTTTCAAACAATAATGTTGGTGTTTCAAAAGCTAAGCAGACTTTTATTTGAAACAAAGCATAATAGTCATAATAGACCTGATGAGAAAACTTATAATTGAATAATACAGAGGACCACGCTGTCTTTCGCCATTGTCACTGAGTGGTTCACAATACTGACTGTTCATAATAATTTCATCACTAATTTTACTGAGGTACAGTGAGAGAAGGGTCGGTGTGCAGCACTGTATTGGCAGCCCAAGTTATCTCTTGATCTTTTTTTGACATCCATTGTACTGTTGGTATAGCTGTCTATTGGTCGAAGTATCTTCAGCTCAAATTCTTCAATTTTCAGGCTATCCTGGAGAGTTATTTTTCTTTACAAATGAGAGATTTCCTCAACTTATTCTCAATGAACTCTACTCTGCATAGAGGGTTTCTCCCATTGAAAAAGCCAAACTTTTCAAAAAGAAATGTATCTGTGGGACATCTTTAATTTATAAATGTCTTTGTTTCTAAAATTGACTGTTCTTTTCCATATTGTGCATTTTTAACAAGGGTGAGTTAAACTAGTGTTCCTTCTTCTTTTGATTTTCTAGCATAAGCCCTTGCTTGAAATTTTCCAAAATTATCAGCCCATCCTTGAACCAGTAGAAACAATTTTGAGAAAAAAAGAGTATTCCAGCTACAATTGAGGTATTCATATTAGCTTTAGCCTGTACCATAAGTGGAGGTGACCCACTGTCTATTCTACCTCCATAGCCTCTATTTCTGCAGTCTGGAGGGGCCCATCCAACAACACAGTGACAATGTTTGAGAGTGTTACACACATTATTGTGTGTGGCACATTGTGACATTACAGTCGTATTTCAGAATGGACACATTGAGACAACTACCCTCAATGCACAACCTGTTATTGCCATAAGGAGTACCATCTCTCACTGCTCCAATATCATTTACCTTCATCCCAGAATGATAGTTAGTGCATCAGCATTGATTAACTCCAGTGGAAGTATGAATTATTATGTTGTGATCCTCCAAAGAAGGCATTTGTATATTTTTACACTGAATACGGCCACACAGATATCATATTTCTTGTAAATCCCATGTTTAAGGCCAGAGTTGCCAAAGCTACCATCATCAATCATCATCATTTTATTATTCCCCATAGTTCCTTCTAGAGAATTTTACTAAGAAAGATTGGGAATGAACCCTAAGGCTGGCCCCCATCCACTTGCCCAAATGTTGATTCATCAACCTGCAACAGGAATAGACTGGCAAGTACTAGAATTGATACTAATTTCCCAATTCATCTGTTATCTCTTTATGACCAGGAATAGTCTATCAAGAACTGGCTAAGTGAACTATCTTACTGGAAGTACCAAGTGTATATCATCCCCTCCTATTGGCCCCCAATGTTAGTTTAATGAGCTTCCTTCAGGCATTCATCATGCTTTTAAACATACAGAAAGACGTTAGTCGTTCTCATCCATCTGAAAAATCTTTGTGGATAGCATTCCTGTCATGTCCCAGAATAAATAAGGGGTAAAATGGGAGTGGAAAGTAGCACAGGACATCTTTTCCCTCTTTAAAGCTGTACAAATGTTAGATAGCAACCCCACCAAATTCCACATAATAACAGTTTAGTCAAAGGAAATAACATTAAAAGAGAAAGAAATCATCTTTGGGGTCCCTTATTGCCATTTCATTTACTTAGTGTGGCATGTTTTGGATGTGACACCCTGATGCTCCCCAATATTAAAATGCATCAATACAGCACAAGGCAGCAAAGGACTGGAAATTAAACTTAGCAGTATTGGGATCGTGGTCACCTGAGACATGGCTTTTAAAAAAAGAAGAAACATCACAAGCTGAGCCACATAGCAAGGGATCAAGGAAGGAACAGATCTTTGTGTAAGAACAACCACTGTGTAGGGAGTTGACTCACTGGTGGACTTTCTTCTTTGTAGTAGTCCAGATCTCTGACGCACATAGGCACAATTGGCCAGCCTTGGAAGCAAAAGTGAGCCCTGTCCAGTTAAGATTGCCATTAAGGGGGAAAAGGGAGGTGGAAACACACTGGAGTTGTCCTCACTTGTGTGTTGAGCTTCAGTATGTTTTTGAAATAACTTATCTGGGGCAAGTGCTATACAAGTGTCCTGAGAAAGGAGGAAGAAAGAAGGAAGAAGCAATGTGGCTCCGTTTCTTTGTTAGGTTATCATTATAAATGGACTGATTCTTCTTGTGCCTGTGAGCCTAGAGGAGGAATACGTGGTAGATGAATGAAGGGCTCTTTTACCAGACGTAGCAGGGGAGGAAGTCTATCAGAGTGTGTTTATATGAATATGTGGTTCTCCCTCTTTCCCTCTCTTCCTCCCTCCCTCCCTTATATGTCAGTGTATTTTTTGCAGTGTGTGAGGAAGTGGTAGCTGGGCACACTGATGACACTAAGAGCTAATGTTTCCAGTGGGGTGAAACTTAAACAATCTTTTATTTAAAACAGAGCAATCATAATAGAACTGATGAGAACAGTTGTAACTGTTGTGCAGTGTTGGCAGTCCAAATTATACATCATCATCAATGCCTCTTGATCTTTCTTTGACATCCAATGTAATGTTGGTATAGCTGGCTATTGCTTGAGGTATCTTCAGTTCAGACACTTCATTTTCAACGCTATCCCAAATAATTATTTTTCGTTACAAATCAGAGATCTACTCCACTCATTCTCACAGAACTTACCTTGCCTACATCACAAGATTTCTTCACCTTCAAAGGAACCAATTTTTTCAAAAGGAAATGTGTCAGGGAGACATCTTTAAAACATTGAAATTTCAAATGTCTTTGTTTTTCAGTTTGACTATTAATTCCTGTGCATATACTGGATGTGTTATGCATTCTTAGCAAGGGTGAATTACACTGGTGTTCCTTCATCATTTGCTTTTGTAGCATGGACTCTTCCCTGAAATTTTCCAAATGGGTTTCTCAGCCCATTCTTGAACCAGATAACCAGGCCAGAAGAAACAATTGTGAGACAAAAGGCACAGAATATTCCAGCTACAGCTGTGGTTTTCATATCAGCTTTAGCCTGTACCGAAACTGGAAGTGGCCCACTGTCTATGCTACCTCCATAGCCTCTATTTCTGCAGTCTGGAGGAGCCCATCCATCATCACAGTGACAGTGTTTGAGAGTGTTACATACTCCCCGATTGTGGCACATTGTGACATTACAGTCGTATTTCAAAATGGACACATCAACACAACTACCCTCAATACACATCGTATTATTGCCACAAGGAGTACCGTCTCTCACTGCTCCAATATCATTCACCTTCATCCCCGTGTGGTAGTCAGTGCCCCAGCATTGATTAACTCCGGTGGAAGTGTGAATTATTGTACTGTGATCCTCCAAAGAAGGCATCTCTATATCTTTACACTGGATACGGCCACACAGGCTATCCCCAGTATCGCATTTCTTGTAAATGCCATGTTTAAGGCCACAGTTGCCAAAGCGATCACCTTTATTATTTACTTCTATGAAGCAAACTTCAGAAGCAACTGTTGCTCCCCTACCAAATATCATTTTGCACTGCATATCATGAGTCGTGCAGTTCCCATGATAACAATACACGCCCTCATTGCACACGGCACCATCTTGTACATGCACATCGTCTGGACAGTGCTCTGAAGTCCCATTGCAATATTCAGGAAGATCACAACTGCTAATCTTCTCTCGGCAAACAGTTCCACGTTGATGATATTGGCAGTTAGCACAGCACAGTCCAAAGGCACAAACAGCCTCCGGGCGCAACATACAATTAGTTTGACAGCAAGGATCTGACTTGCATTGTGTTTCTGACCCACAGTCACACTGCTCTCCCTTTTCCACTCTTTTGTTACCACAGAAGTCAAACTTAAATGTTGTGTTAGTGTCTGGTGGGACAAGTAAACAGCCATGGTTTCTAAGGCGGAAAAAATCTTGGTAACTGCAGTTACTAAATTTATCACTTAGTGATGTATAGGCTCCCATAATGCAAGTCGGCTTTCCACAATAACAATATCGTTTATCATGATACATTCCAAGAGTGTGTCCCAGTTCATGAGCAAATCGTCCTGAAAACCAAAACAAACTGGTACCTCTATACGATTCAATAGCACTTGCTGACTCCCTGCTACATATAGTTGCAACATAAGCATGTCCTATTACTGTCCCCAAATGCTGATATAAAAATAGGTGAGCAGCATCATTTTTTAAAATTTTAAGTAGATGGTTTCTTCTCCAATTATTAAACAATGAAAGCGTCCTACTTGCTGAAGAGGTAATGTTTATGGGGTTGTTTTTTGACCAGATCACTAAGCCTGCTATTGACAAATGAATAGAAAGTGAATCATAGAATGAATTTGCAGTGTGGACAATATCTAGAACTCTCATCGTAATAAAAGATTCATTTCTCTTAAACTGCAAATATAGTTCATGATCGAACACAATTGCTACCTTAGCATATCTTGTATGTGGCCACCAGGATTTACCAAAAACATCTTTGTTTGCAAGATTCTCTGTCTTGGGAATTATGTCCTGTTGATGGCTCCGCTCTTCCTCTCCTACTCCACAAGTCATCCGGCGAGCCCCTTCCTCTACTTCTAACCGAAACACCACGTGTTGAAAGGTAGAAGATTCCTGGACTGGTTCAATTTCATAGGTCTTATTTTCAATTTGCAAGAGACCTCTCAGTCCTCCTGAACATGTACTGAGGGTGACCCGAGAAGAGGACTTTCTCTGAATAAATCCATGGTAGAAACAGTCATCCTTGATAAAAGGATGATCCACTTGGAGATCTCCTGCTGTATCATAGGTGAAGACAGGAAAGACCTTAGGGATGAAGTTCCTTCTTTGCCTGAGGAACACCACAAGGGGACTTCCTTCAATGTGCAGGAGGTAGCTCACATGCTGGGGTTCTTCTTGGCCATACTTGGGAGACAGTTTCCTTGGGATGATCACATCATAAGAGGCATATCTGAAGCCCTGAGGAGGTGCCTGTGTAGAAGCTGCTTTTTGGATGATCTTAAGCAATATCACACTCAATAATGCCACAAAGGTACTCATTTTCACAGAATGAGGGTAGGAACTGACCCTATTCTAAGAAAGCAATCTCAATAGAGATGGGTCTAGCAGAATTAAGTGTGTGTGTGTGTGTGTGTGTGTGTGTGTGTGTGTGTGTGTGTGAGAGAGAGAGAGAGAGAGAGAGAGAGAGAGAGAGAGAGAGAGAGATGTTAGGACTGGTTAAACATTTGAAAATGAGGATTCTGTACACAGCAACAGGAAATGCAAGATTCTGGAATGTAGGCGGAGTTTGAAGAATCATATATTGAATACAAAAGCAAAGCAATATTTATGAAATGTTCTTATGATGACTTGTTATGTAATTACTTGGAGTTCCCAGGATAACTCCAAACAGCTTGTTACTGTTTGTATCCTCTTTTTTAAAATACATTTTTCATTTTTTATTTCAACAAACATATAATTGTGTGAACAGTGTGTTTCCAGGGTGCTTTATATTTTAGAACAAACATGACAATACCTTTATATTAATACTATTGATATTCTTATATAGTTTGATGATATTAATACAAATTATTGAGCTTAATTATTCAATATTCCCATGTGCTATTTTTGTGTCAATCTCTGTATTCTTAACATCACTTCTTTTGTTATAAATACTATTTTAATAGTCATATTTGCAGTGTTTAACAATTTATATAATTCTAATAACCATCCCTAAATTCATATTAATTTATATTTTACATTTTAGAACATGACAGTAGTTTCATATTAATACTGTTAACATTCTTATATGGTTTGATATTAATAGAAATTATCAATCTTATTAATTCAATATTCCCATGTGCTATTTTTATGTTAATCTCTGTGTTCTTAACATTATTTGTTTTATTATAAGTAGTATATTAATAGTCATATTTGCAGTGTTTAACAAATTATATGGTTCTAATAACCATCCAAAAATTCATATTAATTTATGTTTCTGATTGTTTATGCCCTTCTTGCTTCTTGGTTGTGCCACTATTATATTTAAAGCAAAATCCCTTTCTAGTCTCATTTTAATACAAACAGCATAATATTCATCCTATTTAAACTTACACTATATTTAATTATCTTATTTTTGTATCTATCAAATTCTACGTCATTTCTTTTTCTTACAATACAATATTAATTTTCATGTTTATTACAGTTAGCAATTATTTATCTTAAGTAATAATCCTGCAATAGAATATTAATTTTCATGTTTATTTCAATTAATAATTTATATATCTTAAGTAATAATACACATATTCATGTGGAATCATAATCTTTTCCCCCCTTCTAACCATTGTCTCTTACTCTAAATAAAACTTTGATTAATCGCTTCCTAGCATGTCTCCCATTTTCTATCATTTTTTGACCATTCCCCTTTTCTATTATGTTCCATTGTCTCTTTTTCACATTATTTGCTCTTATCCCTATCTTTCTCCCAAAACAATCTTCCTGAAATTCCATTCCCTGTTATATTTCCCTTAAAAACTCTCCCCTTGGTATGTTGCATCAATCATCATCATTTTAAATTTTATTTCCTTTTTATCCTTTCTTTTTATTTGTTGTTCCATTTGTTCTATTTTTCTGGTTACTTTTCTGATTGATTCCTCCTCTTCCTAGATCTCCTGTTTTCTTTCTATTATTTGCATCTCCATTTCCGGATCTTCTGCCAAGCTCTGTATTTTATTCAAAATGTCCTCAAATCTTCTTTTCATATCCTGCAGTTCCAACATAATTGCAAATTCCATTCATCTTTGTTTCTGTTAAGTCTGTTTCTTCTATCCAATTACCCAACAGTCTTTTATTCAAACCAGAATCACTTTTCAGACTAAAAATCCAATTTCCAGGAGTCTTTATGACCCAAAATTAGTCTATCTGTTCTTTTAGATAAGGGGTCTTCAAACTTGACAGCTTTGTGGACTTCAACTCCCAGAATTCCTGCTCCAGTCATGTTAGCTCAGGAATTCTGGGAGTTGAAGTCCACAAGTCTTAAACTTACCTAGTTTGAAGACCCTTGTTTTAGATAGTCCAAAGGTAATACTTTCATGAGTTTCTCCACCAGTTAAATTTTATATTATAACTTTCTGGGGTCTTTTAACAATACAATTTCTTTATTTTTTTTCCCCAAGTCTCCTTAAGTCAGGTCTTTATCAAAACTTTGGGAATCTGTAATGTCTTCTTTTAACAGCAGGTGGTGCCCTTAGATCAGTTTCCACTTTTCATTTTTCTTTTCTTTTTATCTTTTTCGTCAATTTTTGCCAATATTCCAAAAAATAAATATATATTCCTTTTTTTTGTAAATTGATTACAACAATTTAAAATAATGCCTATCCCAAGCCAGAGTTTGTCAAATCACAAAGTCCAGTTTTCAATTATTCTTTAAGAAATTTACAGTATTCTTTCTACATTTTACTCTCTTTCTGTTTTCCAGTTTTTAAAATTAAGTTTTAATACTTTATAAATTCTACTCCAATGTTAGGTTGCTGCCAGTTTAAAAATCCTTATGAGTCCTCTTTTCTGGTACCTTTATCGGGGTTACACTTAGAAATTCGAAAGTATTCTCATCCAGTTCACATACCATTCACCATTTCCTTGGACCTGCACAGTCTTAGGTATTCAGATTGTCTCCGTCTTCATGGCAGCCATTTTGGTTGCCACTGCATGTTGTCTTCAGGTGAAGGGGCTTTCCATGTCAGGGAGGAGAGATGCGCCTCTCTTCTACCTGTCAGGCAGTCCCACTTTTCTTCACCACCTCTCCAGGGTGGCTATGGCTTCAATTGGGGCTCTCCAATCAGGTGAGCTGTGGAACTCACAGTCCTCATCTCCGAAGGCGATGGAAGTCCAGCCGGAAGTCCCAGATACTGTTTGTATCCTTGTTGTTGTTAGTTGCGAAGTCATTTATGAGCGATCGTGACCCCATGGACAATGTTCCTCCAGGCCTTCCTGTCCTCTACAATCTTCTGGAGTCTATTTAAGCTCATGCTGACTGTTTCAGTGACTCCATCCAGCTACCTCATTCTCTGTCATCCCATTGTTCTATTGCCTTCAATCTTTCCCAGCATTAGGCTCTTCTCCAGTGAGTCCTTCCTCCTCATTAGGTGGCCAAAGTATTTGAATTTCACCTTCAGGATCTGGCCTTCTAAAGAGCAGTCAGGGTTGATCTCCTTTAGGATTGACTGGTTTGATCACCTTGTAGTCCAAGGGACTCACAGGAGTCTTCTCCAGCACTATAGTTCAAAGGCCTAAATTCTTTGGTGCTCAGCCTTTCTTATGGTCCAACTTTCACAGCCATAATTGCAACTGGGAAAACCATAGCCTTGACTATATGCACTTTTGTTGGCAGGGTGATGTCTCTGCTTTTTAGTATGCTGTCTAGATTTGCCATAGCTTTCCTCCCCAGGAGCAAGCACCTTTTAATTTCTTGGCTATTCAATTGAGGAGACAGAAAAACAGACAAGTAGTCAGACAGGGAAACAAGCAAGCAAGCAAGCAGTCAGTCGGTCAGACAGGCAGGCAGGCAGACATACAGAGAGAAGCATGTCAGTCTAGCTAATCTCAGATCTTCAAATCTAAGAGGGGACCACAATCTACCAGCAAACCATCAAATTTATATTTGCTATTTAGTTCTGAATACCTGGGTATGAAGAGTCATGAAACCACTGAAATTTTATTTAAGAACTGGGCATGGCTAGTCTAGTGAAGAGAAGAACCAGGGGAGACATGATAGCATTCTTCCAATATTTGAGGGGCTGCCACAGAGAGGAAGGGGTCAAGCTATTTTCTAAAGCATCTGAAGGCCAGACAAGGAATAATGGATGGAAACTGAACAAGGAGAGATTTAACCTGGAAATAAGGAGAAACTTTTTTACAGTGAGAACAATCAACCAATGGAACAGCTTGCCTTCAGAAGTTGTGGGAGCACCATCACTTGAGACTTTCAAGAAGAGATTGGACTGCCATTTGTCAGAAATAGTGTAGGGTCTCCCACTTGGGTGGTGGGGGTGGACTAGATGACTTACAAGGTCCCTTCCAACTCTGATTATCTGTTATCTGTTTGAAACAGAAGCTCTGCATAGGGGAAGATATCAATAAATATGAATTTATTGCCTAATCTCCTGTTGATTTAGCAATAGGTAGGAATGATGCTTGGAATGATTGACAGTAATCAAGAGAAGGTTTGGGAATGGAAGTTGTATGGTGACTACAGAAAACAGTTTCTGTACTCAAAATATTTTTTGTTATTTTTCCCTAAAGCTTGTACCTGATGAAATTTACAAGCATTGTTGGGTGAAACTGCATTAAGGATCAGAAGCGGGCATTCTTAGCACAAAAATCCCATTTAAAAGGCTGATCAGATTGAACTCTTTTTCATTTTTGAAAGGGTGAAGCAAGATACAAGAGCAAGAAAAATGGCAAAAGTATGTATCGTGGTTTTAAGCTACAGAAAACAGCAACAAGAAGAATTGACCTGTTCAACAAAGACTGCATTGGATGCTACAGATTCTATGTACTTCGCACTCCTAGTTGGTGTTCATGGATGTGGTGTGTTGATCTTCTACTGTCTATCCTACATCGTGGCTGTTACAGTCCTTACCCTGTATATTGTAGATGACTCCTGTTTTTTTTCCTTTTGAGGCTACTGGGTCTTTTGGTTTGTTGATTGATTGATTGGTTGATTTTAGATAATTTATATAGCAGTCCATTCACTCGCAGTGACTCTAGGCAGTTTGCAGACAATAAAAAGGGGGAGATATTATTATTATTATTATTATTATTATTATTATTATTATTATTATTATTATTATTATTATTATTGATAATAATAATTCATCAGACTCTGTAAAGAAGCGGATGAAACCATCAATCACATATTGAGCTGTTGTAAGACAATCACTCAGACTTGTTAGGAATGTGAGTCACCTAACAGCTATTTGGGATGGAAATATATAAACCAGGATAGACATTTTAATACTGTATCTTTAAGAGCATGCAAAAACTGCAGTTGGGTGTGGTTC